GGAGCTCTGGGGCAGAGACCCAGAGAGGGGGCCAGTCGCGTGTGAGTGTCACAGGCACTCGAGGTCACATGGGAGAGCAGTCACGCAGTCATCGTCCCAAGGACCCCCCCTACCGAGGGCACAGTCTCTCACATTGTCCCACCCAGCCATCGCACACACAGCCACAGTCACACGGCCACGCCCAGTGTCACACGCAGCCCCGTGCTCTGAGCCACAGAGAGGCAGGGCACAGAATCACACAGAACATGATCCTCAGGTTCGTTCACAGTCGAACAATCCACGGTCACATCCAGAGAGCCAGAGCCTCTCACCCACAGGTGGGTGGTCAACCACGGCGACACACAGCCACATGCCAGGGGCGTGGACTCCTCCACTCACACAGGAACACAGTCACAGCTTCCCACAGTCCTGGTGATGCAGTGTCCATCATACCATCAGTGGGTCACGTCACAAACACCGTCTGTCTCCCCGAAACCAGCCTGATTGCCCTGGGAGGACGGCGCCAGGGCATCTCGGTCCCCACCGGGTCCCCAGAGTCACTCAGCACAGGTTTGGGCACAGAGCAGAAACTCAAAGAATGATTGTTGCGTCAGTTCAATAAAGGCACACAGTTACATGGTTCCTCACGGTCATATAATCCCTTAATGGCACAGTCTGAATGTCACGCACAATGTTACACAGGCACATGCGTTAACGCTCCCACGCATCGTCTCGCACACTTCACACCATCAACTACAGAATCCAGGCCCGTCCCAGCGACACACATTCCCCGACTGTCACTAAGGCACACACTCTCACAAGCTCCCGCTGTCACACTGTCGCACCAACACCCTCACTCACACAGTCACGCCCAGTGCCACGGTCTTACAGACACACAACTCTCCATCACGGCCTCACCCGCACTCACAAGTCACATATCGTCACACACATGTCACACCGAGATGCTACCATCCCCCCGTCATGCACGGTCACACAGTTACACGCAGGATCGCACACCATCATCCCACAATCCCACACCAACCCACAGCCTCACATGGTCGCCTGGCCACGGTCATCACTGAGTCACACACCTTCTCACCATCTCCATCTCCAGTGTCTTCCTTTGCCCTAAAATATAGGGAACATCTGGACATGATGGGGCAGGCTTAGAAACAGACACTCAGCTCTCGGCCCCTCGTCCTCCTTCAATACAAACCACATCAATCACACTGTTAACATTCGTGAGGGCGCACTCCCCTGGGACCTATAAAATAAACGGGACAGAGGCGAGTCTGCCCATTTTGCAGAGGAGAAACTGAGGCCCAGAGGCCCTGGGAGGGGCGGGTTGTAAGGGGTGGCATGAGGTCCAGCCCCAGAGGCTGGCAGGAGACGAATCTGGAAGAGGGGAGTGGCATGGGGACGCCAGCTTCCTGGCCTCTGGCCCACCTCCCTGCTCTCTGGCCCACATTCCTGGCGCCTTCTGGGTCCTGGGAAAGGCTGGCTTCACGGTTCACGAGTGGAGAGGGAAAAGCGTCTGAGATGGCCCGGCACCTCTGGGCTTGGGAGGGAGTCTCTCCTTGGCCCCAAGAGGGCCTGGAGTTCCCTTGGGGGGGGGGGGGGGGGGGGGGGGGGGGGGGGGGGGGGGGGGGGGGGGGGGGGGGGGGGGGGGGGGGGGGGGGGTGGAGGGAAGCAATGGAGTGGAATTGAGGTGGTGAGAGAGGCAGGAAAAGAAACCAAGAACAGAGAAAGACAGGAAGAGACAGAGACAAGAGAGACCAAGAGAAAGAGATGGACAAAGAGAAAGACATCGAAAGAGACAGAAACGGGGAGAGACACACAGAGCCAGACAGAGATAGAGAGATAAAGGAAGAGAGACAGAGATAATAGATACAAACCAAGAGACGGAGACATTAAGAGATGAAGATGGGGCGGGGCGGAGGGGGAGAGAACATGAAAGATGGGCCCCCCCTGAGGAGAGATGGGCAAGACAGGAGCCTGGGGGTGGGTGAGCAGCTGCTGAGAGCTCACACCCCCCTGGGAGAACGCAGGGCAGAGCAGAGCACGGAGGGGGGTGGGGGGAGCCCAGCGGGAGATGCCTGGGTCCCTGCCTGGTCCCCGGCCTATCTCAGCCCTCCTGAGAGCCCCCGCCATCTCCCAGGATCTGGGGAGGGGGCAGCAAGACCACAGAGGGTGCCACACCACCCTCTCCGATTCCCATGCTCCAGGCTTCTGGAAACTTCCGGCAGAGAAGCCGCCGGGCCCTCTCCCCACGCACTTCTCTCTCTCTGCTGTCTATCCTTCTTCACGCCCCTCCTCTCTTTGGTGGGACTCTCTCCTTTCTCCTCTCCTCCAGACCCCCTCTGTTTGGCCCTTCCTCTTGGGGGACAGCCTGGCTTTTCTCTTCCTTCCTGCAGGTTCCATTCTGCCCCTCTCCTCACTTCTGCTCTCTTGTGTGCTCCAGGTCAGACTTTTTGTGCCTCTTTTGAAGGTTTCTCTTTCTCCTCGCCTCTTTTCCCATCTCCTCTCGGGTGTCTGTCTGTTTCTCTCTCCATTGCCCCTGGTCCTGGGTCTGCAGGCTGCTGTCTCCCCCCCTGCCCCACCCCCAGCAATGACCAGGCAGTACCCCCCACCCCACCCCCCACCTAGGAATGCAGCGGTGGGGAGGAAGCTGGAGGGCCTGTGGCTCCCCCCATGGGGCTGCCTGGCCAAGCAGAGCCTTCGGGGAGCAGGCGGGCGCCTGGAGTGCTGGCAGATGGTGCAGGAGAAATGAGGCAGAGAGAGATGGGGAGAAGGGGCACCCCATGGGGACTGAGGCCAGAAATGGGAGGCTGAGATGGCCCCCTGAGATTCAGGACTACAGAGAGATGAGGCCTGGAAGACAGAGACCCAGAGAGAGGGACATGCATGCACACACACACACACACACACACACACACACACGGAAAGACAGAGATACAGAGAGTGAGAGACAGCAACAGAGACAGAGACTGAGAGAGACACACCCAGAAACATGGGGATCCAGGGAGAGGCAGAGAGACCAAGATGAAGACTCCGAGAGAGAAGACCGAGGAGACGGAGGCTGAGAGCCTGTCACTCAGAGACATGGGATCTGGAGAGACAGAGACCCACCGAGAGACAGCACGCCAGAGACAGGGGTCCCGAGAGAGAAACAGAGACAGATGGTCCAGAGAGACAGAGAGTCTTGGAAGGCAGAGAGATGGGGATGGGGTAAACTCTCTCAAAGACACAATCAGGCAGAGATGAATCAGAGATGCCTGGCTCTCCCGGAGGGGGAGTGCTCTCCCCCTACCCCAACACCCCATCCCCCCACCCCCACCCCGCGGAGCATCTCCATAGCAACGTCCCCAGATCCTAAGGGCAAATATTGTCCTGGCCAGAAGCAGCGCCAGAAGCAGCGGGCTGTGTTGACATAATCTCCTGCTGGTGGGGTGGGGGCTCCAGGGGCCCGAGAGGCCAGGATGGGGGGCAGGAGAGCATAGAGGCTCTGAGTCGCAGCCCCACAGACAGCTGCAACCTCCCCCCACATCCAAATCGGAGTGCAAACCTCCCCGCCCTGAGAGGACTCGAACCTGTAGCCCGGGCTGCCCCCTGGTGGTGGTGGTCGAGTCCTGAAGCCCCTTTCCAGGCGTCAAGGACAGCAGGGGGGCCTGAGCATTTTCCTCCAGGTTTCTAGAATCTGGCTCCTCTTTCCTCTTCCCCCAGCTCCTGCACTGGTCCAGGACTCTTCTCTCCCAGGTCTCCTGCCCCAATCCCGCTCCTCTCTCTTCCACTCACCTGCCCACACAATGGGGCAGCCAGGCAGCCAGAGCAGTCACACTAAAGCATAAACCTGACCCTGTCCCTCCCCAGCTCGGAACCTGCCATGGCTCCCTAGTGCCCTCAGGAGAAAGCTCAGGCTCCTCTCCACGGCCTTCAAGGCCTCTGCTGAGCTCTCTTGCCTTCTCTCCATGACCTCCTACCTCTTTAAACTCTTCCCAGCCCCTCAACCTTGGTTCCGGCAGTTTTCCCCACCTCCAGTGCCTCCACCCAATTTTTGTCGAGTCTTCCAAGCCCACCTCAAAGTTAGCTCATTCATTCATTCAACAAACAATGATTTCCTCTCCTGGACTGTGAACGCTGTGAAGACAGGGCTGGGGCTGTCTCTGTCACTGCTGGGTCCCAGCATCACCCAACGCTGGTTTGGCACAGAGCAAGGTTCAACTTATTTTATTAGGTACTGGTGATGTATCAGGCCCTGGACTTGGCAATGCTGGGGATGTGGCTGGCCCTTGCCCGGCCCTCATGGGGCTCCCAGCCCAGGCATAGACCCAAATAGGGAGCTAGATGGACAGAAGGAGAGGCAGAAAGAGAAACACAAAGAAAGGAAGAGTCAGAAAGAGGAAAACAGAGGCTCCGAGAAAAACGGAGTCCAAGATCAGAAGTAATAGTACAGTAATAATGAGAATAACAATAATAGGTCCCATATCTCGGGCATTTTATGTGTCTGCATCTCACTTAATCCTCCTAAAAGACCTGCAGCAGAGGTATCCTCATCCCCATTTTCCAGAAGAAGAAACGGAGGCTCAGAGAGGGGGAGTAACTTGCTCAGGGTGACAGAGCTCATAAGTGATGGATCAAGGGCCCAGTTTCCATACAGAGACATACGGACAGACAGAGATGAGAGAGAAAAGTGGCCTGGAGCAGGAAACCTAGAGGCAGAGAAGAGATGAAGGGAGACCGTGGGTCCTGTCCCCTCCCTCCTGGTGGAGCCGCCCTCTCTCCACTCTTGTCTTCCAGGCCTTGACATCTCCCTGCAAAAGCACTTGTCTGGGGCCGGCCTGGTGGTGCAGTGGTTAGGTTTGCACGTTCTGCTTCGGCGGCCCGGGATTCGCCAGTTCAGATCCCGGGTGCGGACGTGGCA